AAAACTTTTACCTTTGTTTCATTGGTTTTCGAGCATTATAAATGCTAATCCATTGTGTGGCAGGCATTCCCATTCTGACCTTCTTCTTAGGTTGTTCGTCGTCTTCATCCTCAAGCATTAGGCGTCCTCTCTTGTGACCAACCTGATAGATAAGCTTCATTTTCAAAACCAAAAATTAGAAATGCGGCTAAATTAAGCTTTACAAAGACCAGCGCATTAGAGCTTCACGAAATGGTTATTCAGAATTAACTCATAAAGTACCTTCTGTGCACCCTCGGTATTGATGGGCCTGATATTTGGATTTGGTCCAACTATCCCATCAAAGAAGGAGATATACTTAGCATAATTAGGTTCCTCGTCAAACTTCAGATTCACCACGTGTTCCACAAAAGATTTAAAAGGTTGTGGGCAAAAGCAGCAGAGTGCCTCGGGTGATGTTGCCATTTTCTTCTTGCAGACGAGAAATCCTTTGTTCTCACCCTATGCCAAAAAGTAAAAAAGAAAAGAAAGGAAAAAGAAAAAAGGAACGTGAAATCATATTACAAATTGACTAAAGAAGGAAGCAAATAGAAAAACATAAAAAAAAAACAGATAAGGATTGAATAAGATGCACATAATAACTTTTAATAATTAGCATGCAAAGTTCAAATTATTATTGAACCCTGTTAGTTCAAAACACAAACCTGGTATCCCTGCCAAGGCAGGCGTCCACGCAAAAGAAAAATAAGCGTATAAGCAAGGGATTCTAAATCATCTCTCCTGCTGCCAGTTCTGCCTAAATGAGCATGCACACTGGCATAACGAACGGTTCCCCTGAGAATACAATTTTACAAATTCACCAGACAATTGAGTAAATGTCCAGAGATGACGAAATAAGAAGTAACAGCAGAATAGGATTTTATGTATACCAATGCAAATGTACCTGAAAACATCTGGTCGTTGATCATAGTCAACGTGCAGCCCAGTAGTGCCATCTCTCCATCTCGTGGCTGATTTATGCAAGTAGAAAATAGAAATTGGAAATATTTTAATATGCAAGAAAAAAATTGTACGAACAAATAATGCAAGAATGACATACCTAGACCAAGATCAACCAAGTACAACTTCTTCTCGTCAGGGGACCCTGGCGAGCCGAGCAAGAAATTCTCAGGCTTCACGTCCCCATGAACATAGCTGCCATTTTGGAACATATTTTGAATAGTATGTCATAAAATTTCTAAATATCCATAAAAAGCACAAATAAGGTAAACCCTTCATAAATATCAACTCAGTTATGCTTTGTGTTCAATGAACAAATAATTCCACCTTAAATCCACATCACCAATCTTTCCATCAACCAACATTTCGAGAAGAACAAGCATCCAACTAAATATTCACATTCATAAATAGACATTCGACAGAGTTTACATATGTGCAAGACGAATCTTCATCCAAACAAGCCTAGTAGATATATAATAGCATATCATGACTGCAAAAGTCTAATATTGAGCCAAGACTAAGAAAACGAATCAACTAACAATTGAACAAAAAAAGAAAAAAATCTGTGTAATCAAAAGAACGTTCTGAAGAAGTAAGCCAGGTGGATATGTATGTACATTTGGTTTGGAATTGGGAAACAGTGTGGTTGTTCTCAAAAATGACAAAGTTTTTCAGGAAGTTGGCTAACAGGGAAACAAAATTAAAGAACAATACAGCTAACAGCAACGAAAAAACTTACCCTCTTGAGTGCATTTTCTCTAATATAGAAATGGCTTCAATTGCAATGCAAGCCACCATTTCAACAGACATCCTGATTTTCGACAATATAGAAATTTAATCAGATAACAGAAGACTTAAAAGTAAAAGACTTCACTGTCGACAGACATCCCAATCTTCAAATTTTAAAAGTAACAAAAATCTTCAGATTGGGAAACTCACGAGTGGGCATTATTATTCCAAACATCCCACAAGCTTGGTCCTAGCATATCCATGACCTGTGAAATTCCGGGGCCCATTTAGTAAATCAATTATAGAAACTACAAAGTCATAATGGAACCTAGAGAGACAAGATATTTAAAAAGTACCATAACGTAATAATCGCCTTGTCGGCCTTTATAGTGCACTCGCGGTACACCATGACTTCCACCCAGGGTGCTAAAAAATAACAATACAGGAATGAAGATATGAGCAATCAAGAATCAGCCGAGTGCAATCACAAATTAGTCCAAGTAAAGCAGAAAAAGTCCATAAAACTTACTTATAAACTTGCCACTCGTAAGGTGGACCATAATTACAACCCTTGCTATTACGATGTTCAAATTTTAGGGCCACCTATCAAGGATCAAACAGAAGTGTCTCAGTAGGACAAAATAGAGTTAAATCATGGATTCACACTAAAAAGTAGAATACACACCTCAAAAGCTCCAGGACCTGTCCTTTCATTAATGCTACTGCCAGTGAGACGGCGACCAACATACACTTGTCCGAAACCTCCCTTGCCAAGTTTCCTATCAATTTTGTACATTGGAGAACCACCAACCTGCACCTGTAACGACGGAAAACCCACGAGAATTGAAGTTAATCACTATTCAAAATCCCAGTACATCCAGGACACACATACTCCTGTAGTTGTTAACTTAAAAATTTAAGATGCTTATTATTTGGTAATGTGGATTATTCAGAGTATCACACCGAATTATCTTGAAATTTTAATATATTTATTATATGGTAATGTGCATTCTTCAAAGTATCATACCAACTTATCTACGTATACACCTAATGGCTACGTGATCTGACGGACAACAGCACAAACACATCAACGGCGTAAAATTCATGCAGACTCTAGCCTTGATCACTAAATCAGGAAAAAATAAAGGATGAATCTTTCATATACAAATTATGATTCATGTGAACCAATAACATAATAATCCAATCGGATAGAATTTGTCAATAAATCAAATAGAACTTCTTGACAAAAGAGCACAGAACAAATTTTATACTTCTATACTTCATCGACGTAAAATTCAAGCAGAATCTAGATTGACCACTAAATCATGAAAAAGCAAAGGGCGAATCTTTACTATGCAAATTATGAATCACGTGAACCCATGACGTAAATAATCCGATCGGACAGAATTTGTTGCATACATACTAAAGTAACTAACTGCTGTTCAAGCCCGTAATCCATGAAAAGGAGATCCTACACAAATTCTCACATACAATATATCCACACAAGCACCACCATGAAAATTTGAATGCAACAAGATGCAAAGAGTCACTCATTGTTACGCAAATCCAAAATAACATTATTTTCCTCACAATAAAACTTCCAAAGCCTTTCAGTCTCCCATCCAATAACCAACGGAAACATGCATACAGATACTCCACCACCATTTCACCTCCATACAAAGAATGCTACCACAAGACCAAGATAACAAAAAAAAGGGAAAAAAGAATACTTCCCACACAAACACATTATTCTCACCTTGTCCGGGAGAGGTGCCGCCAATTCATCATCACCACCACCGTTGGCCTTTGTCGGGCTTTTCCCGCCTCCGCTGTCGTAATCATCCATTCCTCTCCCTCCCTCCTCAGCTTCTACTCTCTCCTCAGGATCCTCCTTCCTCTCTCCTAATTCCTCAACGAAAATCTCCTCTGCCTCAGCTTCTTTGGGCACAGAAGCTACCTTTTCATCAACAGGCCCTGCAAGAGCTGCAGCCACTGCCGTTCTCCTCCTTGTCCGCGTCGCTATTCCCGTGTTTTCCTCGACAGCCTGATTCACTTTTCTCTTATCCTGATTCTGATTATTATTATTATTCTTTGCGTTTTTATCGTTGTTGTTTTGCAGCGTCTCCTGCTTTTCTCTCCGGCCGCGGCGCGCTCCGCCACGCAGTACTGGCATCGTTCATCATCCAATTCTCATCCCTTAACCCTAAAATCCAAAACAAAAAAATACAGATTAGTACATGAAAATAAACCGAAAAAAACATCATTTTGTGAACACGGTCTGCAAAGGAATTTCAGCTAAATTCACACGGAAATGGAAAACGGAGTGAAAAGTACTCACCAGTAATCGAAACCCGATGAAACTAAACCAAGCGATGATTCTCGAAACGCACTGATATAGAACAATAGAGCTGAAAAGCAGCACAAACGTTAGGGTTTTGAGTGAGGCCGATAACAAAATTAATTTTCCAAATTTTTTTGGCTAAATTTGATGGCCGGTTTGAGGGTGAGAAAAAAGCTTTACCAGAATCTGCAACAAGAAGACAGTGATTAGATTTTGGGAGACGAAGAAGTGAAATCAAAACAAAAATCTAATTAGAAAAGTAGAGGAAATTATGAGCAATACGATATTATTTTGTGTATAGTTGTTGTCTGAGAGCAATTTGTGACCGTCGATTCGTAGCGGTGCAACGGTGGAGATAACATTATATTTTGAGGACCTTCTGGAATTTTATGGGGTGGGGGAAGGGTTGTGAAATGACGTAAAAGGGCTCTGCGTTTGGCTTTTACTATTTTACATTTTTACCTTATTATTCCCTGTGGACAACTAAGCGGAACAAATGGGGGTTCTGTGGATTCAGTTAATCGGAACCGTTGATCCTTAGAATGGACGGTGAATTATCTACCACGTGGATTACGCGGTGATTCATGATCTTTGTGTAACGTTGACCTCTTTTCAAATTCCATATTGGTTTTCTTTGTTTTTTTTTTTTTTCCNAATAGTATAAGGTTAATTAATGCAAATAATAGAGATTTGTTTAGAGAATCTATATCTATATCTATATCTATATCTATATCTATATCTATATAATAAGAATTAACATTTATTAAAAATAGTAAGTCAATCTTTAGTCAAACTTATCAACATTAATTACATACCATTTATAGTATTTTTTTAATATATTTTTTACTAAAAAATGAACAACATTAAATATTGTCCTGAAAATGAGGAGTTTGTTATTACTTTTTTATTTTCAAAAAGGTGGGCTGCTATTTAAATTTGGTTTATTGAATATTTGCGATGGTTTAACATGATGTGATTATCAAAAACTGATAATGCACGTGTTGCATCAATTAAATTTGGTTATTGGTTACAATAAGCTATTTTTAAGTTTGAGTAACACGATTGGTAATTCAATTAAATATCGGCCAATTATATTCTCCAAATTTAAAACGAGATATTCGGCTAATACAATTGCTTTTCTTGACGGTTTTTTTTTAATAAACAAATTATGACTGATTTAATAATAAAAAAAAATTTATGTGTTATTTTTTCTACCATAAAAATATGCTTTTTTGTATTTTCAAAATATCGGAAACTTTTTATTTTTTATAAAATCGGCTAATACATATGTTTTGATTAGCAAAATTTATTTAAACAAAATTACGGCTAATTTAAGGGTAAAAATATTAAAAAAAAAAAATTAAAAAATATTTGTTTATTTCTTTTGAAAACATTTTTTCTAACCATCAAATCGGGCAGTTTCAATTAAAAGAGTTACAGTTGATTCAATTGTTTTGTTTGACAACTATTTATAATGAAAAATACTACACAGGTCTAATTTTGAAACGATCAAAATTTTGATGGTCTTTGTTTAAATCAGAGATTTGAAATAAGAATAATCTCCATATTTAAATTGCTTTAATTGTAAAACGTGATGTATACAAGATTTAGCTAGATTTATCACATATCATCCTCTAAATTAAATTTTTTTTTTTATTTCAAAATACCAAATCAAAATTTTTATGGTATTTGTTTAAATCAGAGATTCAAAATATCTTAATCTCCATATTTAAATTGCTTTAACTGTAAAACGTGATGTATACAAAATTTAGATAGATTTATCACATATCTCCCCTAAATTAATGATTTATTTTTTTCTAAGTTTCAAAATACCAAATCCTAAAGTTGCGGCTGATTTAATTATTAAACGATATTTTGCAATCATAGATTCGGGTGATCTTCAAATTCAAAATTTAAATTGCCGATATGTAGATAAATTTGGACAAATTAAATACATATGATCCCTAAATGAAGGATTTTATTCCATTAAAAAACATAAAATATGAACTTAAGATGTAGATTTTATTATGCATGTGTGATAATAGAATTTTACATGCTATGAAAATCATATTGTTTACTCGTGCATCGCACGGGCTACGCATTAGTAGTTTAGTAATTAGTAAAGGTTATTTTCAGCATGTGTTGTATTAATTTAGTTATTATAATTTCCTATAAGCTAAAAAGAATATTTTTCTTTATGGGTTTCTCAAAACAATTGTTTTATGATTAAGAAAAAAGATCTTCAAACATTCAAAATTAATGTGATACTAAAATAATTATAATAATGTCTACGATAATAAAAATTGTCTCGTAAGAATCATTTTCCATATGCTAACACGTTATGTTTCTTAATGGGTTTGTCACAACAATTTTATAGTTTCATGATAAAAATAATAATCTTGAAACATTCAAAATTAAAGTGTTAGTAAAATTGTATTGCCAAATAATTTTATAAAATAATTAGCCAAAGGCCCAAAGCCCGTCTAGCTCAGTCGGTAGAGCGCAAGGCTCTTAACCTTGTGGTCGTGGGTTCGAGCCCCACGGTGGGCGTCAACATGTTTTAGCATTAAATAACATGTTTTCTACCAAAATCTTTTGGGCCTCAGTCTAGCAACTAGACCCTTCTTATAATATCAAGATTTACTTAGAATATATAGAATAAATATTGAGATAATGATTTATCTTTACCTAGTATAGACAAAATAAATATTGACATGATGTGGGAAAATTATGACGAATTATGACATAAATTCGTCTAGAAAATATTCAAAAATTAGATTTATTTTTTATTTTTAAATCCTTACAGTAATTCGTACGCTCCTTCTCATACGCTTAGTTTATTAATTTTACACATACAAATAAAAATTAATGCAACTCGAAATATTATATAATAAATAAAATGAGATTTTTATCTAACATTTAGTATATTGCCGGAAAATTTTTTATAAATCTTATTCTCTTTTTATGCACATAGATATTAAAGAATGAGTAAAAAAAAATATCTAAATATGTTTAAAAGTATATAATATTAGATGTGTTAACAATGTTACAACCAAAAGACATTGAGAATACGCAGACTATTATATAACATATGTGAAAATATTAAAATATTTTATATTATTATTGAAAAATATGAAATTACCTCAATTTTGTCTAGACTATTTTATAAGAAAAATATATATACTTAAAGTTAGCACACACACATATATATCCTTAAAATTTGCCCAACTAACATGTTTAAAAGTATATAAAATTTTATATATAAAACACGTTTAAAGTTTACATATTTTACAAAAATTAGATTGCTCTCAGTTTATATAAAATTTGTTGCTCTCATATTCGGATAACGTATTATGCATTTAATGAAAGCACCCTACGATACAAATTTATAAATATTAATTAAAATAATTTTTAAAATTATATAAAATTGAAATAACAAAGGTAAATATTACCTGTTCATCGTGAAAATGCGTTACATCTCCGTTCGTGATGGGTTTCAATGGGTTTCAATAATGCGGACTACGCAAAAAAGGTTTGTTATAAATATTAATTAAAATAATTTTCTAAATTATATAAAATTGAAATAACAAAAGTAAATATTACCTGTTCATCATGAAAATGCGTTACAGCTCTCCCGTTGTTTGAATAATGCGGACTGCTCGTCATGGGTTTCAATAATGCGGACTGCTCTCAGACGCAAAAAAGGTTTGTTATAAATATTAATTAAAATAATTTTCTAAATTATATAAAATTGAAATAACAAAGGTAAATATTACCTGTTCATCATGAAAATGCGTTACAGCTCTCCCGTTCGTGATGAGTTTCTCTAAAAGGTTTGTTATAAATATTAATTAAAATAATTTTCTAAATTATATAAAATTGAAATAACAAAGGTAAATATTACCTGTTCATCCTGAAAATGCGTTATAGCTCTCACGTTCGTGATGGGTTTCAATAATGCGGACGCAAAAAAAAAGATTTGTTTCTTTTGTTAACGTACCCCAGTCTGGAAGCATTATATATCAAGTGTACCCCAGCCTGCTCGTGATGGGTTTCAATAATGCGGACTGCTCTCAGACGCAAAAAAGGTTTGTTATAAATATTAATTAAAATAATTTTTTAAATTATATAAAATTGAAATAATAAAGGTAAATATTACCTGTTCATCATGAAGATGCGTTACAACTCTCCCGTTCGTGATGGGTTTCAATAATGCGGACTGCTCTCTCCCGTTCGTGATGGATTTCAATAATGCGGACTGCTCTCAGACGCAAAAAAGGTTTGTTATAAATATTAATTAAAATAATTTTCTAAATTATATAAAATTGAAATAACAAAGGTAAATATTACCTGTTCATCATGAAAATGCGTTATAGCTCCCCCGTTCGTGATGGGTTTCAATAATGCGGACTGCTCTCAGACGCAAAAAAAGGTTTGTTTCTTTTGTTAACGTACCCCAGTCTGGAAGCATTATATATCAAGTGTACCCCAGCCTGGAAGCATTATATTGTATATGCTATGAAAAATTATTCTCTGTATTTTTTTTTCTCTGAACTCGTGAATGATGAGTTGTAATGGTGGTAGTGAATATCCTTTTATACAATTTTTTATTAACAAAAGTGATAAGATAATTATGGATTGTATTTGAATAGATATTAAATTCCATGATTTTTGGGATGCAACAACAAAATATGCAATCACATGTATATATCTTATCACGTTAAAGGTATATCCATCCCTAAAAAAGGGAAATATATAATGCCTTAATTGACGGAATTTGTGTATTTTCGTAACAGATTTGCTTAATTAATGGGATCTGATACTTAATTAACGGGAATACCAATTACAAAATCTTATTCACGATTTTTTTTTTCAAAATTTGATTGAGATTACATAAATAGAAAGTCAAAAGTCAACTCAATTTATTTTAAGTTTCTAAAAATGATTTTTACATCAACCTTTTTAGATATATATAGATTGGGCCTGCCGGTTATTAAATTATATTTTGATTTTACAAATAAGAGAAACTAATTAACTTATTCAAAATTTCTCAGGCCCAAAAAGTGTTCAATAATGGNCTTTCTTTTAGTTTTTCAGATTTGCTATATGGTCCTTCCAATTCCAAGAGCATTCAACCGTGGTCATGAATCTAAGTCAACTTATTTACCCAAAATAATAACAAGAAAAGTCAACCAACAATTAATGCATTATATTTTTGGCAGTGTTTGATTTTTTAATTATTCTCAAAACATCAATCGCTATACATGCACCTTACATTCATGAGTTTTGTGGATTTAATTTAGATAAAGTTCGACTGATGCTTATAATTTTGCAAATGTCAAAATTCTTTCTCAT